GTATCCCACGAAATCCCATGGAGAGCTAGACAGGGAATTCAGGGAGTAGAAATAGCTCCTTCAAAATATCTTGGAGATTTGCTATTCCTTCCATAGCCTTCCTAGTTTTCTTTTTGTAAATTTCCTTCCACCTTTCTCATGCTAAGGAAATTCTCTATCCTGGAGAAATTTTCTTGCTTGGGACCTAAGACGAATGACTTTTTTCATGCCATTTAATGTCTCTTTAGTGTTTTCAGACCACGGAATCAAATTCCTTCTTTCCCTCCTTCCTCCCCCCCTCCCTCCCTCTCCTTCCTACCTTTCTTCTTTCATCCCTCCCTCCTTTCCTTCCTTCCTTCCAGCACTGGGGTTTGAATTCAGGACCTCAAGCTTTCTAGGCAGGCACTTTACCACTTGGGCTATGCCCCCAACCTCCCAAATGTATTCTCTGCTAACTTTATTAAACAGCCTCTTTCCCCTTTCATTGAGATGCCTGGAGATGTGTAATCCTCCCTGATAGAATGGAGCAGGAATTCCATTGTCCAGCTTATGGCTTTGTGGGGAAGGAAGACTTTACTTGAAGTGGGGACTTATTGACCTCTGGGACCCAGAGGGTCTCCAGTAGGTTGAGCAGAGCCCACTAGAGTCACAAGCTACCATGCAGATGATGATAAAGGAGGGAAATCAAAGAGGATGACAGAAAAAAGAAGAAAAAGAATCAAAACAATAAAGAAGAGGAGGAATAGAGGCTAAAAAGGAGCCATATGGGGGATAGAAAACAAACACATCCCTCTTGGTCCTCAGGGACATTGGCCCCAGCGGGGAAGAATGTTCCATGTAGTCACTCCAATGCATGAGCTACTGTCATACCAACACAGGGTGCCAAGCCAGAAAACTGCTGTCTACTTCCTCCTACTCTCCCAGACCCAGGTCGCCCAGGTCCCAGGCAGCAAGCCAAGAGCTGTGACCTGTGAGAGATGGAAGGACCTCGGAGTGCATATGTGTTTCTTAGTTGGAGTACTGTTGACATTCGTGGCAGAAGGTTAGGCAAAGTGGTCCTAGGTTGGCAGGACATCTACCATCCCTGGTTCCCAGACCCTATGAGGGACTGTTGTCACCATTGTAAGAAGCAAAAAATTCCCACTGCATTTTCTTCCTCTTCCTTCCCTCCCCTCTTTCTTCCTCGTATGTGTGTGTGTGTGTGTGTGTGTGTGTGTGTGTGTGGTTTTTTTTTGAGACAGAGCCTCACTATGTTTTCCAGGCTGGTCTCAAATTTGTGGACTCAAGCAAGCCTCCTGAGAAGCACTGTACGTCCACACCAGGTTCCTATCCCATTTCTAATCCTGCTCTTCTAGACCAGTCCTCGCTGTAGAGCCACTGTGAATGGCACTTAGGGAAGAGCGACAGGAGACTGATGCCCAGGACGGGAAGGTCTTGGTTTGAATCAGAGGGGCTCTGAATCATGGACCTCAAGCTCTACCTCCTCTTTAAGAACCACAGGGGAAAAAACCTGACTATTCTGTGTAGAAGACACTTTAAACACTCCTCAGGGAGCAGAGAAGGGACCGTGGGTAGAGAGGTGGGGAGCCCTGGCTCCCTCTGGAAACTTGATCTTAATTGACTATGGTGAAATCATCGTTCTTAACCTTCCCACTCAGCTGACTCTTGTGTCAACCCAGTGACACGGATCCTCCTTTCTAAAAGGATTATTCAGGCAAGTGCAAAAATGGAGCGGAATTTAGGGCTGGAAGCAGCGCAAGCTGTAGGGAGGGGGTGGACAGGGATAGAAAGCCACTAAAATTATCCACACACAGTCAGAGGCTGGAATCCCACAGCTGATGGGCCTCTCGCCTGTTATAGCCATTTTCTACCCTTTGGGACACTCCCAAGCTTCCTTAGGGCACCTAACACATTTAGAAATGACTTGTTAGCCACATGTAATGCTGAAATAATAGCATGATGGTGGCATCGGCAATCCCTTCCTGGTGCTTGACAGTCCCTCAGTAGAATCCCTAAAGCTGGTGGAGTTATTGGTCAGACCATACTTGTTCCTTTGTCCATTCCTTGCTGAAAGCAAGACTGCCTGGAGCATAGCCTGCTTGTCCAAGGCCATGCCAGGAGTAGGGGGCAGTTATTTTTCTCCATATACCCTCTGGAAGTCAAGGTGTGCTGTAGTCTAGCCTGTGGCAACAGTGGAAGCAGACATCTGGAGAAGGGAAGGCCTGGGCGTTCCCTTCTTCCTGTGGCCCCACCTCTTACAGGCCTTCCTTTTGTTCTTATGTCCTATGTGTCTCTTCCCTCTCCTCCTGCACAGTAGCCCTTGCCACCTCTTCCCCAGCCCCAGAAATCAAGGTTTAGGAGGAATTGGGGAGACAATGTCCCCTCTTGTCCACCTCAATCCATTTTAAACTTCAGCAGCCATATCTGCTTCTTTACGTTTCCTCCCAACCCACCAAGTGGGGAAAGAGAAAAGATGTGGCATGAGCTTCTGCCACTGAGAACAGTGATCTTACTGAATTTGCTGCTATGAAATATACCACAGGCACCCACAGCTACCCAGGCTCCCCTGATGGCCACACAGTACCAAGGCTACCTGGCCCTAATTGCAGGGGGAAAATAGCAATCCAGGATTCTGACTTATTGGGAAGGCTTTATGAAGGACTCCTGGGAATCAGTGCTCTGCCTTGGGGCTATGGTGCAGGAGCATTAGTCTGGGTGTCTTGGGGGCTGGTTGTAGTCACTCCTCAACTGTTTTTTGAAGTTTATGAGTTCATAGAACCATGAGCCCTCACTCGGTGTCCCTAGGGCTTCCTTGCTGGGGCTGGGTGAGCCTTGGAGGCACAAAGGGAGAAGGGTGATGGAAGAGAATACCCTCTTCTGCTAAGACCTCCCTCTTGACTGGGGGACCACTGCCTTCCCCTGGTCTTTCTCCCCATCTCCAGGCCCACTCTGATGTGGGCAGGAGGTAAGGGGCAAGTGGAGCCCCCCGCCCCCCGGATTGGGGCACCAGAGGTAGCTTTGCACTCACAGTTGTTTAAGGTCTGGCTCCTGCAAGCTCAGGGCCAACACCACATTCCCAAGCAAGACTCTCCCTCTGACTATTCCTTCCCCATCCCCTGTTCTGACTTTCTTCCTCTGGCCTCCTCTGGGCCTTGTCATTCCTTCTTTTTCTCTTCTATTTCTTTCCTCATTAACATATCCAGCTATCATTTCAACCGTCACTCTGAGTAGATGGCTCCAGTTTTATCTCTAGCCTCAGAATTCCAGATCTGCATTTCTAGCAGTTTCTAGAACATTCCCCCCAGATGCAGAGGAAGCACCTCAAACTGCACAGTCTAAACTCAAATTTGCCTTCATCCTGCACATTTCTCAAACCACTACCACCACCACCAGACTCTGACATCATCCTGATTTCTGTCTTCACACCCTGTTCCCTGGCAATGATGTTCTGGTTAAAAACTTCACGTGCCTGTGACTGCAAATTCCTGTGGGTCCAAATTCCTGTGGGATTGTCTTAAAAACTAATTACTGCCACTCTGCCCATGAATTTACTGCCAGGGGAATTCGTGGGCTTTCCTAGGCAACAGACTCAAGGAAGAGTGTGCCTTTGTAGTCTGCTCAACTCTTGCTGACGACTGGGGGCTCCCAAGGAATGGCTCATCCTCTGTGGACAGAGAGAGCAACAGATCAAAGGGACCTCCCTGCTTTGCCCCTCAGGAAGGGTTTCCATGTTCACAGTCCCCTGAGACAAACGCTACTTTGCTTAGTAACAGCTATTAGTGTATGCCTCAATCAGAGAGAAAGATGGATTAGGTTAGGGTTAGGGTCAGGGCCAAGGGTAGATAGCAAGATTAGGGTCAGGAGGTCACATCTGAAAGGTCAGAAGTCATTCAGCTCCCTGAAAAGATAAACCTAGGTTGAATTGACAGTGTGACATGGAATGGGGCTAAGAAAGAACATTCTCTGGAATGGAAAACTCTTTGTCCTGTTCTGTTTTTCCCAGACCCCTCTGTCCTGCTATCTTTCTGGAGTCCAGAGACCGTGGTTGACTCTCTGGTTTCTTCACCTGAAGATATTCCCTGAATCCTCTATAGGACTTACATACTGATAATGTGCTTGTGTAACAGTTCACCACGAGCAATTCACTCCCATCATGATCCTTTCAGAAACCTTAAGAGGTAGACAGGAAAACTTGTGTGTGTGTGTGTGTGTATGTGTCTTCTTGTGAATGAAAACTAAGACTCCCTAAGTACCAATGGTCTGCCCAGTGGCACTGCTAACATGAGGCAAAGCTGGGACTCAACCAAGATCCCAAAGCTGGGACTCAGAGGCATAGCTGATCCCCAGCAAGCAAGTGGGTCCGTGATACCATATGGTGCTATATTAGGAATCACTATTTTTTCCCAGTGTAGTTATGGCTCAAGTATTTGCCAGTGGATTGTTGCTGGTTACTTTGAGAACCCTCGGCAGCAACAATCTGTCATACCTTAAGTGGGTCATTTTGACATAAGAAGTAGGTGTGGAATCATTAGGCCTGGGACTAACATGGGACAGTAGAGTTAGTCAAGAAATGGATGAGCCCAAGGGCATTTCTGATGCTCACCCACCAGTAGCAATCACATTTTTTTGCTGGGCAGAGGACTACAGAATTTTAAGAGATTCCTAAATTCTAACAATCTCAGTTTATTGGTGGGGAAGCTTAACCTCAGGAAGGTTGTAGCACATAACCAAGATCACACAGCTCCTAAGTGCCTGTGCTGATGCCAGATCCAATGCTTCTTCCATGCTACCTGGATTTCAGCTGTTCTTCCTCTAGGACCATTTGGGGCTTATCCCTTCCATGCGTGCACAATCCACAGACAACAGAGTGAGACTAATGGGGGTGACCTGCCTTCCTGCAGATGACACCTGAATGGGGGCAGTCCTCTTGGAGAGGAAACAACTATGACCCCACGGGCCAGGAAAACCCTACAAATGTGTGTTGCCAGGTTTTGCACTGGAGAAGAAGCAACATTACTCACGACTTGTCTCGCCTGCCGAGCCTTCTTGGGGGGCTTGCTTGTCTCCTTCTGGGGGACAGGGATTTCCCCCGGCTTCTCACTTGGGTTGGAGAGTGGGCACTTGCAGGTTTCAAGATCTGAAGGAGTGATGAAGAGTTAGCCACACTGGTTCCTAAGGGACTCCCACCCTCCTCTCCCTACCGCACGCATCCGAGCCTCCAGCACATCCATGATCACTGAGCAGGAAGGCTTCCAGAGATACACAAGTCCCTCATTCTGTGCTAGAAGTAGTGTACTACTCCCAAGAGGGTGCTGTGGATGTTATTTGTGTCCCCTTTTCCATGGTGGAATTGGGTCTATGTTTGGTTGCTTAGAAGTTTCTCTTCTCATGAGGGCAAAGTCTCATCTACATTGCCCCAAACCAGCTTCCTCTGACTCCCCCATCTCATGCCCATGCATAGAGCAGCTTCAGTTTATCAAAACCTCCACTCCAGTTTCCTCAGAGTGAAGGTGACAAGTCCCCAGGTGCTAAACATAACCAAGCCTGAAGTCAGCAGAATCCTTTTTCCCAGGTTCTGCATGTGCACAGGCTTTTTGTTAGTGACTCCACTAAGAGAGGAGGGACAAGGACAAGCTGGCATTGTGTCACTGTGGAGGTAAAACTGGTAGAGGGAAGAAAGGCTTATGAGTAAGTCTACTTAAGGCCAGTTCAATGAATTTTTTTTTTTTTACAGTACTGGGGTTTGAACTCAGGGCCTACACCTTGAGACACTCCACCAGCTCTATTTTTGTGATGGGTTTTTTGGAGACAGAGTCTGGCAAACTATTTTCCTGGGCTGGCTTCAAACTGTGATCTTCCCAATCTCTGCCTTTTGAGTAGCTAGGATTACAGGTGTGAGCCACCAGCAACGTAGCAAATGACTTATATTTTTCACTTTCACAGGTTGATCACTAAGCAAAATAACCTCAAGAAACTTTTGACCATTCTAGAAATATGGGACCTGGAGCAAGAAGGGGGAGAGAGAGAAATGGGAAGAGAGTTCTGATATATTACTCATTTCTCCTCCCAGCACCTACCTTCATTCTCATATCCCTGGCATATTTCTCCAGCTCCTTCCTTATGTCAGCCCTCAACATCTTCGAGACATTGAGGACCAGCTGCTTCCACTCAATGGGTTGGAAGCTGTGAGGCTCATGAGGGACATACAGCCCAATCTTGACCTTCTTCACCGTGTGCAAGTATTTCTTGTAGGAGTCTTCAAAGTCAAAGACGAGATCACTCAAAGTCCGAAAGGTCAATGGCTTGTCCATCAGCTCAGCCCTTCGGCTCATGCCCAGTGAGCCATAGCGGCCATTGCAATAAATCCCCAGCACGACATGATGAAAATAGTTTCCTGAGAAGTAGGTTTTAAAGCTGATGGGGAATCGCTCGATGGAAGGCTGTCCATTGGTTAAGTATCTTAGACAATCGGAGTCAAGGAAGAGACAGAAGGTCTTGAAAATTCACAAAGCATGGATTCCCAGGAAGGGAAAGCATCTCCTAGGAATCAATGAGTCCATCCCTCTGTCTCTGAGCAGGCCCATGTCTAATCTTTCCAGAAGAATCTTTTTATAAGGGATTCACTTGGTATCTCTGAGTATCAACTATCTGGTACGTATCAAAACCAAATTAATATGGGACAAAGAGAAAAACTGAACATCTTCTTGAGCAATTAAGTGCAAAACAAAACAGTAAAAAGTCATTTTTAACTTGCTCAGTTTTCTACAGGGCATTGGGAGCTATTTAAGGTGGGGTTTTTTTGTTGTTGTTTTGTTTGTTTTTTGTTTTTGTTGGTTTTGTTTTTTGAGACAGGGTCTCACTATGCAGCCCAGGCTGGCCTCAGTCTCCTGAGTGCCTGAATTATGTATGTGATACCATGCCCAGCTTTTTTTTTTTTTAAGGCTATCAGAGGGATGGACTCAGAATGCCATATGTGTAACAGACCAGAATTGAATATCCATGATGGCCCAGGTGAGAAATAAAAATCCAGCATCCACACAATGGAAATGTGAGACAGAGGCTGGCTGAGATCCAGATGGCCAGAGGCAGAAGAAGTCAGAAAGGGCCACGTCTACACCTTGTCAGCTGCTTGCACTGGCCCCGGTGCACTTGTGCCAGTAGTCTAGGGTACCAAACAGAAAGCTGTCTCCACACCTGGATCCCCAGGCTCTCCTCAGTCCCCAGTGCACAAGGCATCACTCAACTGCCTCTACTTACTGGCCCATTTGGATTTGGTGGCAGCCTCTCCTGTTACCTTGACTTTGACCCAGCAACTCCACAGGTACAGTTTGAAGTACCTATCCTACTGTCTCCATGCACTGGAACTATGGACAAGAGGCATAACATCCCCCAGCCCATCTGGAAATCCCACACCAGCCCTGGCTTGGCTGTTGTGACCAAGCTTTTCTAGAGAGGAAAGCTGGAAAGTCATCCTCTGCTATAAAGCTTTGGTGATCCCCCAGTGTTTCTAAGGTGGATAAATTTAGTCGCTTGACATAGTGCTTTATGCATGGTGAGTATGAATAAGTGATTACCATTCTCCACTTTCTGAGAATTCAACTTCATCACTGTATGCCCCATTCCAATCCACTTTTCCACAGTGGACAGAATGCCATATTTAATCCAAAATTTGGTATTTCTCACCCTTCCACTTAGGAGTTTCCAATGTCTCACCATCCTCAGAACTTTGTCCAAATTCTTGAGCCATGATTTGGCTCTGCCCATTGATCCTCTGTAGTCTCATTTTCCCTACACCCTTGGCTAGCACTCTGATGGACAGGACACCCTTGACATTTTTCAAGAACACACCCTGAGACAATAAAGAAAGCTTGGATCTATGCCCATTGTCCTTAGCGCCTATATTCAGTCAAATACAACTGAACAATTAGATGACCTTTCACTGATTTTTACATGACATAGCCCTTTATATCACAAAGCTATAAGATGAGATTATGATACTTTAAAAAACATTTTGCTGTTAAACGAACAACGCACCATTAGATCCTATCGTAGCCATGACCGTGGCCACACTCACACTCCCTATAGCATAAGGGATTCAAATCCCTTTGGGGATCCTGAGATCTTTGGGATCCCACAGGAATCATGAGTGATAAGGATGCTTCAAGCTTGTGTTCTCTGTCCCCGAGGCTCACACAGGCTGTACCCCCTTCTTGAGTGCCATGCCTGCTCTGGCTTCCCTTAGCCTAGTTGTCTTCTCCCACTCCCTCCCCATCCAGAATTCCCATAGCACCTGGCGCATACCCCAGCCACACTGTAACTCCATATCTTATAAGGGCAGGGGCTGCATCTAGCATCCTGATATTCCTAGGGCATGGCACAGGTCCAGCACACAGGGGCTTATTTAACACTTGCTGAAAGAGTGAACCTTGGCTGGGAGCATGGCTCAAGTGGTAGATTGCCTGCTTAGCAAGCATGAGGCCCTGAGTTCAAATCCCAGGCCAACAAAAAAAAGAGTGAACCTTACAATTCCTTACACTTAAAAGGACAGCATTCGGTGGGGGCCAAGTCAAGGTACTCTGAAAAGAAGGCTTACAGAACCCAGCCACAGCCCTGAGGACAGCTTTGTACCTAAGTTTAATCGCAGGTGACTCCTCTGTATAAAAATGTAGCAGAAATAACAATGGTCACCTGCCTTCTCTTTTTCTCATCACGTTAGATTAACTGGTGCAAGCAGGTGGGGTCACATCCTCTGAGTGCTGTACATAAATTCTTACCGGCCTTCTGGGTGAGTTCCTTGGGCTGGAATAAGGTTTTCTTCAGTTATCTAAGCCAATAGCCAATGCTGTGAGTGAGTCCCCTGTGCCTGACAGCCTGTCAGCTAGGGCTTGTGCAACCAAAGACAAAGAATATGGAAGTATGGTTGGAGACAGACTCAAAAATGACCTAGGTAATCAAAGAATAAAACAGAATACCATATTATCCAGCAACTCCACTTCTAGGTATACACCCAAAAGAACTGGAATCAGGGATTGCAACAGGTATTTGTATTACCCATATTCACAACATTCCTGAAAATAGCAAAAAAAAAAGGAAACAATCCAAATGTCCATCAATGGGTAAATAAACAAAATGTAGAATATATATATAATATATATATATATATTTATACAAGGGATTGTTCAGCCTTAAAAAAAAGGAAATACTCGAATATACTACATCATGATTTAAGCTATCATGCTAAATGAAATAAGTCAAATACAAAGAACAAAAAGTATGTCATTCCAATTATCCAAAGTAACTTGAGTAGTCAAATTCATAGGACAGAAAGTAGAATGGTGGCTGCTGGGGGCTGGGAGGAGAGCACCGGGAGATGTTGGACACAGAGTTGCAGTTGAAAAGATGAAAAAGTTCTGGAGATGAATGGTAGTGACATTGCACAACATTACAAATGTACTTAATGCTTGGTGAACTACACTTAAAAATGGTGACAGTGGTAAATTTTATGCTGTGAATGTTTAAAATAAAAAAAAAAATCAAAGTCAGGCATGGTAGCTCACATCTAAAATCCTAGGTTACTTGGGAGGGTTGTGGTTTCAGGTCAGCCTGGGCAAAAAGTTTGCAATATCCCATCTTGACAAATAAAAAGCTGGGCATTGGTGGCGTGTGCCTGTCATCCCAACTACACAGGAAGCATAAATAGGAGGACTGTGGTCCAGGCCACCCAGGCGCAAAAATGAGACTCTATTAGAAAAATAACTAAAAAGGGCTGGAGGCATGTCTCGAGGGCACCTGCCTAACAAGCACAAGATCATGAGTTCAAACACTAGCACTGTCAAAAAAAAAAAAACTAAACTAAACAAACAAAACCCCAACACACAATGTGACACAAGCTGTGAGAGAGGCAAGCCAAGCAATCACTGGGTGGGCAGAGAAGGGGCCTCAGTATGGGAATTAGTCTTATGGGACAAATAGAGTCAGCCAAGTGGGGAAGTGGAGGTGTGCAGATGACAGGAGAGACTAGCCATCATGTCACAAGTCACTGGTCTCTAGGATTTATTCCATCATCACTGCGACCAGCAAAGCCTTGGGACCTGGAAAGGGAGAAATGGAGGAAGAGGGAAGAAAGTACCTTGAGCTTGTCCAGAGAGGGGAGAGCAGTAGCACCTGAAGCCTTGGAAAACATGCCAGCACCCAGGGTCCTGGGCAAACCATGAGCCTGCACTTTATAATGTACCTGTTACTGGAATAAACCACGGTACTTTAGTACCATGAGCAAAGCTCACCATGATCAGCTAGCCCCTCCAAAAATAGGTGCCATAATTTAGAAAATAATTCGGGATCAAAGATCTACGTATCCAGTATGCACATAAAGGATCTATGTATCCAGTACGCACACTTGAGCAAGATAAAAATAAAATCTGGCTCTTCACAAAGGAATCCTGAACTGGGCTAAAGTCAAAACAGAGAAAACAAGGAAGGACAGGTGCAGGGATACAAGCTTCCATGCAGCCAAACCGACCAGTGTCCCAGATGTCAAGGCACTGCTTGCTTCCCAGGACCAATGGCAGGCTCTGTGAAGCATAGGAGGATGATCCAAGGCATCCTTCCTCATGCCCGAGAGGGAAGCAGCACACAGGGTGCTGACATAAAGCAAAGAAGAGACAAAGATGCTGAAACTTTTAGAATTTAGGTGTGAGTCCAAGAGTCACATTTCCCTGAGTTCAGCAGTGTGCGCTGAGTCTCCCCACCTACTCTGCACTTTTCTGAAATGTCACACGGGAAAGAACAAAGGAAAACCAAAAACACAGGCCCACAATCCCAAAAGGTTATAGGTAGTTCTGGTGACACGATGCTTAGATGTATAAAACTGTGCAGGACAAGACGACCTAGATACCCAGGTGCACTCAGATATCCAGCAGCAAAGAGGCTGTTAGTTCGTCCGCCCAGTGAAGGGCCTGGGCTTGCGTTCATCTTTGATTTCCTCCAGCAGATCCCTGGTCAATGGCTCACCCCCATTAAACTAGCAAGAGGCTCTCCTGAACAGCTGAGGCTGATTCCTGCCACTCGAGAGTTGTGGCCTGGAGCCATCTGTTGTCAGACCCCAGCCCTGGCCTCTTGCTGGGTTCCCCAGGCACATGGTCCATCACTTTTGTGGGGAGCAGGGAGGAGCAATGGCAGGGGGGCTGGGGAGGGCCTTCATTAAAGCTCAAGTTTCTATTTTTCAAGTGTCAGCCATGGCACCTGTGGACAGTTTCAGATCAGGCCTGCCAGTGGTCTGCAGAGGGCAGAGGGGCACAGAAACTCTCCTGTAGAAATAGATCCCCAGAACCACACACACACACACACACACACACACACACACACACACACACACACACACACGAATGTGCTCAGTATAAAACCCTATGAAGCTTTTGGGCTGGGGGTATAGCTCACTGGTAGAGTGCTTGCCTAGTATC